CCACATTTCAAATGCGTTCATCATCATGACTTTGTGCATTTTAGGATTGCTTGATACGCAGTTTGTATCACGGACTTGTGCACGAGTATTCAAACGCTTCAGATAAAATGTCTCGTGAGTTTTAAGCTTCGCTAATGCTAATCCCATGACTTAGTCGCACAAATGATGGCATTCGTGCTAGGATCTTTGCCCAATCAACTGTAGCAGCTATGATCTTGGACGTGACCAGAGCATGAGCACTCCTTACTTAGGATGGAGGATGTTTTATGAGATTCATACACTCATTGCGAGAGGTAGCCAGGTGAACGGATGAGGAGAAATACTGAGAATCACAATTCGTCAGTGTCTTGATGTTCTGGACTAGAGCTAATTAAAATGGCAGATTGTCATTTTATGGTCAAAGGAATTGGCTGAAGGTAGGGTTATAAGGTCTGTCCAGTGAATTCATGGACTTTGAAATCACTGTAAATGGGAGAGTGACAATGGAATGTCTATGTAAAAAATCCTTGCATTGTGATCCGGACTGCAAGGTGCTGCGATGGCGTCAATGTCTTGCCTTCTGCATGCTAGTCCGTTTAGTTTAGCAACCCAGTCTCTGACTTTGGATGTTGGTAATGATTTCAGTGTGCTGAAGGCATTTCGATTTTGAGTACAAAGCATACTGTAACAACAGAAGACAAGGGCCTGACAACATCGTTTATTAAGGAAAATCGACACATATTTGTAGATTTTAATGTACATTATTGTAGATTATTGTTAGTAGAAAATACAGTCTTTTGATTGGTTGTTTCTCACAGAAAGTTGACCATGCACCATTTTGTGGCTGTGTCAGATCATCCGTATGCTAACTGTATCCGCCTACGCAAAGCCTTTGTTCTCATTTTCTCACCACCAATATTGGAGACATAAACATTGACGTCAATTACTGTCTACCAAATTTGGCTAGCAGCCAGCTCTCACCACAATACTACCGAGATCAGTCCATTTATTCCACAGAAGTCGGGCACTAGTGTAGCAAACTTTTATTTCAATTAGTTGCTTCCTCATCCTTCCCTCAGAGGTATGGGAATTATCCGACCCTAACTTTTACTTTGGGAAAACCCTTAATTACGAGGTTCTTTCAGATGTGGTGGAATTCGGCCAACTGTTTCAGGAGATAGAAGATGGATGACAACAGTTACGCAAGACATACTATATGCAAATGGACGTGTTTATACCCTGACTACTAAAGTACTTTTTCTGCTTTGTCCAATGGCAAATCACAACAACAATTCGATCCTCCGAAACACTAGAATATTTCGGGATAAGAAATTTAAAGTAATCACAATTGCTTAACTAAGGATCACGCACCAACGAGGGAACCTTACACAACAGTGTGCCGAATGACGAGAATTTTAGACTGCCTACTTTCAGAAAAAGTCTAAGCCAGTGAAAGTCAGTATTCCATTTTGAGTAAAGAATGTTGTAGACTAACAATTTCCAGGAATTATTTGCTATTAAAATCTAATGTCACAGACCGCCTTTTGATTTGGTCTGCTAGGCTTAAGTCTACGCGGAGGTGCAGGTCCTTTCCTGAGTGTATGCTTACAGTTCAGAATTACGTTTCTTTCAGTTTTCAGTTTAATGTGAATGTTAGAAGGCGTGCCTCATGATCTACTATAGGGACAGCCTTTTTACCGATTGTATACGGATTGAGAATGTTTATACGTGTTACCGTTTTGGGGAGTAGCTATCGCACCTATAATCATATACTATCTTGAGATCATCTGCGAAGAGTTATGGGTTGTCACATTTGATCACAGAGACTGTTATACTTAATAGTTTTGGTGAATAGTCCGCCGTATCTACCATATATAACGCGGTGTTCAATTGGGGCGCGCATTTTCGTTAAGTTTAAACAATAAAGATGCCTAAGAATATATCGTGTAATTTATTTTCTCCCAAGCAGGGCGATATTATCCCATTACCTTGTCTTATTCCATGTATACATTATTTAACAAATTGGTGTTTGTAAACTGGCGTCCCTCATGTACAAACAAATGAGAATATATATTATCATTGTTGTACACCAGGTAAGTGCCTGGTATATTAGATGGTGCTCTTATATACCGCAAGGCGATAAAAGACGTTTCTAAGGTACTAGCACGAATGCAAACGGTTGGGTTAAGACTGAACCAAACAAAATGTCAATGTTTCGGGAAGGAAGTGTGTTTCTTAGGCCATGGTATATCAACCGAAGGCATCAAATGTGATCCGGCGACAGGAAAAGAAGTCAGAGACTGGCCGGTCCCCAATTCAGCTTCCGAGTTACATAGTTTTTAGGACTAGCCTCTAATTATAGACGTTTGGTAACTATTTCCTCTCCATTCTTAAGACGAAGGACTACAGCTGAACTGCATCAGCTATTGAAGTGCTCGAGAGACTTGAAAATTCTCTACGTAGCCCTCCTTTCCTGACATATACTGACGTTTCTTAGCAGGCAGGTCCGTTCATCTACGGTACAGATGCTAGTGACACTGGTATAAAAGCTGTCTGTCGCAAAAAGATGCAGATAGAACAGAAAGGATGGTGGGCTATGCAAGTCGTGCACACAATGGGGTGAAAAGAATTAGTGCACCTCACGGAAAGAAATGCAAGTACTGGTCACCTTTGTTAAACACTCCTCAGTAGACACTTCGTAGTACGGCTTGACCACAAAGACCCTGGCTTGCCACACAAATTCAAGGAAGCTGAGGGGCAGATTTCATGATGACAAGAACATTTGCAACAGGGCTTCAAATGCCAACATAGTCCTGGAAAAAACCATGGAAATGCAAATATATTGTCAACAAAACCACTTAAGTATCACAGTGACTATCCGTAATGCACCGAGGCACACGTTTACGTGCTCGAATGGGAGACGCGTAATTCATACAGCTGACCTGAACTTCAGCCCTCAGCTGTGGCCTGCGAACCTGTTCGAAGCGGAGGCGAACGACTAACAGCCTAAGAGATAAGTAAGCTCGGATGGGAAAACCAGAGTTCGTCGTCTCTTTGGAAATTTAGGAACGGAATTCTCCGTGAAAATAGCTATTCAAATTGCCGACCGACATCTAGTAAAATTGTAGAAGACTATGGTTTTAAACCTTTATTTTCGAAAGCACGACAGAGGGCAAGTGAGGGGGGACCTAGTTAAACATATAGTAGTGTCATTAGCCGTTAAGTAGTACAGGAAGCGCTACAAATCATAAAGAAGATATAGTTCCTTGGTTACTCGTCCCGTACTTCTGAGCTCTCTAATCACTTACTGCATCTGATTAGCCATAGCATACGATGTGCAGGAGCCAAATAGGCCAACATAAGAGTTGTCAACATCTTTTGCAACTAGCATGATCCTGCATATATTTATCGGGTTGTGGCCCTACAGTCAGTATTACACACAGTACTTTTGTCATTACAGCAACAATTAGGCCAAAAGGGGGTTCAGGTAAAAATACAGGATCGGCCGGAAGGGGTTGCTAGTGGTCTCATCAGAGAAAAAATATCGTAGATTTCCTACGAGGTGTGCGAAACTATTAGGTTTCAACACATATGTAATAGGTTCCCCCAGAACCTATCATAACTGGACATTCAGGATGAATTAATACAAATGGATTTAGTTGGGCCTCTCCTTGTTACCTTGAGAAATACTAACCATATAATAGTCGTGGTAGACCATTTCACCGAACTGTACGAGGATATCGCTTTTCCTCAAATAATACTACAACCACTGCGGAACCAATTTTTCGACCATTGGGTTAGCACAACTTCAGTAACACTCACGCTAGTGGTATAACTTTGAAGCTGTCGCTACCAGAGAAATCTTTTGCACAGTGGGTGCCTGGAAAACAGGCACCACTGCACAACACCCACAAGGAAGTGGGTTAGTTGAAAGCACCAGTCGGTCATTCAGATCACTCCTCCAGGTATTTGTGGACCAAGGTAATCCTGGGGAATGGGACAGATGTATCTCTCTCTCAGTGCTTACCAGCGTACAGAGCAAGCGTTCACCAAGCTGTACACACGTCAGGCGCCTCATTATATGATTGCCGGAAAAGGACTCTACCTCCAGACTCACAATGTGAGAGCACACTGATAGCATCAGAACATGCAGTCAAGCTGAAAAGTAACCTGAACGAGGTGTGATAAATGACCACGGAAATTACTTCAAACAAATCAGAGGTACTAGAAAGGGTGCCACGGCAAAAAGACATATGGATTACCTGTGGAACCGCGAGAAAACGTAATTTTACTCTAAGGGAGTGTTCCTTCGGTATTATAGATACCTAGCAACTGCACCTGTAGAATTTATGAGCACAATTCTGTTCATAGAGTAGTAACACATTTCAGACTGAAACAGTTTCGATGGCAAGCCATATATCAGAAAATTTCTGTAGACATAGCCCCCTATCACAGTAGACAGTGGGAGAGGAGGGTAGTGTAAGGCAAGTCAGGAAGTTTTCTTATGTCTAAACCATATGCCTATCTGATTTTGGGTGTGCTGAATGGTGTGCACGCGTTTATTCCCAGGAGGACGTGACGAGCAGCCAATAGGAAAACTCTTCCCCACTCATCCATCCATAATAGAATTGGTTGTAGATACTGTCTTTGGCATTGCGTCCTCGTTCTTACTAGAACTTGGCACTTATGAGATCACCTTGTTTACTTGGATCTTAACTCTCCGTTTCAGAGCATTGATTGAATTTTAGAACTACAGCTACTGGCTCTTACCGTGACAGTTTTTCGGTTCAGTAGGGGCATTGCATTTAGGGCTTCCTGTTCCTTAGTCTTATCAAAAACTAACAGGATAGTCATTGCTCCATCTCTGATTGGAAGAGTTTAAAAAGTGGTAAATTTAATAAAAGATGGCACAAAAGCCACAGGGTTATTCTGAAAACCTATTGCCTGATTCATACTACTTCTTGGAATTTACTGGATGGTGATTTTTAAACATGCCAATTTTCATAATTGTACCATTAAGGCGCTACTTTAGAAATTCTATTTTGTTTTCGATACCCTGGATTTACTTTCCCTAGCTGCAGGATAGAATGATTCAAGAACCAACGAGGAGTGAAATATTTCAGCGTATGGTTAAAAATATGCAAGTGGAACAGGAAATACTTGATGCACTAACAGATCACGAGAAAGCAGTTCTGTTTTCTGCTATTCGATTAGTATGTCTATTAGTCAGCGTAATTTCTCTTATCTTTCCAGGAACAGATCAAAAGATACAAAAAATGGGATGCTGATCAGGAAATACTTAAAAGTAATTCTACATGAATTGTTAATAGGATAGCTATTATGTTCTATATATTTTAGAAAACAAATTAATACCTCATGAATTATATGTTTTTGTGTATAATAATGGTTCAAAAATGGAAAATAGTTTAAACAAATTTTACGAACCTTAGCTCATCATGCCATTTTTTAAAAAGTACGACTTAGGAACTTCACTTGTGATTTTTTACAGTTATTATCTTAAACTTGCCTCTAAATGACCAACTTCAGTATATCACTTTAAAACTATAAGTGGGAACTATTACAAAAATTGGAGTCATGATATTATCTTAAATGTGTAGCTTCCTAAATGCAGATTTACAATTTCAAAGCCTAGAATTTTTTCGGCAAAAAAGAGTTTTACCATGCTAAATGTCATACAGAATGTATGATAATTCGAATAGAAATTCATTTTTTGTTTATTCCTTTGCGTTCCCAGTGAAACATAAGGCTTCAAGATTTAGCTTTGAAGTTCTAGTAGCAGTGTTGCTGTTTTACGGGGTGGAGTTGCTAGCCTCACGCCCACCCTCCTCTCTTTATCCACATTATAGTCACCTAAGGGAGGTAAAGGTGTGTGCCGGCCGGGACTCGAACCCTGGACCATGTGCGTGGTCGGCCAGCACTCTTCCTCTGAACCACCATCGCACAGAAATACATTAGTGCATATTTAACGGGTCAAACGACTTTACGCTTGGTTGTAGCTGAACTATCCAGATATATTTACCTTGATCACTAAGTCTCAATTATAGTATTACATCAGATCATGGCATGCTTTTATTCTTTCGTATGACTGTATCATAATATTTTAATGTCTGTACATTCAATGAAGTATATGTAAATATTTTGAATGAATTAGTTGACTTAGTAAAATCTGTTTCAGAGTATTCGGGACTGTCACGTTCTTGTCATAATATTTCGACTGTAGAATTCGACGCCTAAGTCACTTTTTGATTTGATTAAACGATGTAGAGAAAGTAGTTTAAAGTTGATATCAGGTCTAGACTTTATCAGCGTACACGTATTTCTCCTGCATATAAACCTCTGCTTGATTTTGAAGTGTGCTGTTTTTCGATTAAAATTGTTGACCTGCTTAACAGAAACTCACTAAACTGAGTTTCATAAAGCCTCTTCATTTTATAGTGTTCAAATTAATAAAAGTGTTTGAGCATACTTAAACATTACAGAGCTAAATTTACGTTTGTATCCTAGTAAAACAACATAAGCATTAAATTTTAATCATATCAAATTACGGGTAATTATTTTCTTTATTGTAATTTTATTCAACCATAAGGTTAATAAACATAAAACCTTTTTACACAAAAGAAAGTATAAGTTCAAGTGTGCACTGGGGGAGGGGATTTATGATCGAATTTATTAGGTTGAAGGAAAACTCAGCGAATGATATTCAGCACTGAGTACTCGCTTGTAGGTATCGATCAGAGCATGAGTACAGTGTTCTATGTCACTTGAGATAGATTATATCACGTAAGCAGATTGTTTGGGATACCTTTTACGGAAAGCGGTATTTAAGAATATTTCTCGGATGAAATCGATCCCTTCATATTCTAAGTAAAGTGCCATAAAAGGTCATTTGATACAACAGTTGATGCTGATAGTTTTTTGGTGAATTTTGTTTCTTATTTTCTATTTCATATGGTCTGCATGGTCTACACTTTTCAAAAGTGACCAGATCAGTGTTTATATTTATCATTCACTGCGTAATAAAACAAAAAATAATTTTGCTGTAAGAGTATGTCGTCACCATAGATATCGTCATAAGTACTAGAGACAGCAGGGTTTTATCAGTATGAAAACTTCCTTCTATGTTGTGATATAAATTCATGAAGCTAAATCTTTGTATACCATTTATTCTAATGTAGCGGTAGGAATTATTTAAAAAAGCTTTCTAAAAAGGTCGGGTACTCAGAACAACAGTTATTTTTCCTCCACGTTTAATCATGGATTGAGATCAGTTAGAGAAATATTGAAAACTACCACTCGAGGACTGGACAGCCGGCTGTTTCATCAGTCTATTTTCAGACTCATCCACACTACGCACTCACCCTATTACCACGGTTCCAGCCCAACACCTTCTGATTACAAGTCGAGCTAGCTCGTAGACCATTCATCCAACCACTGGAATCCGACTCTTCAACAGTCAGTCAGTCCATGAATTCTAACTTCCACCAATTGGTGATTTTAGTGCGACCAACTAATGTCATTGCTGGGGAGTATTTGTCCTCACTCACCCGGTCGGGGAGAACCCACTGGTCACGATTTCTCAGCAGAACTGAAGGCAACTTTGTCATGCAGCTAGTCACTAGCCAGTTTCATGAGTTCGTTTGTAGGGATTTGATTTGTTTCAAGATTCTGATCACGGATTGATATATGTATTCTGTTCTTCAGGAAGATTTAGCTGTTTACTGTTGAAGTGTCAGGAAGTAGGATGGAACAGCTGCCAATGCTGATTCTTTTCAAGTGGTTTTCTGAATGATTTCAAAAATCAATTAGATTTGCTTGAATTCCGAAGTCAGAAGAAAGACTTTCTAAATTTAAAAAGAGACAAAACATCTTTAACTGTTGAATATGCAGGATATTTCTTTGCCTTCACTCTTTTTAAATTTAGACACTGATGGTGCAGAATATCCTAAATTTCTTTTGACTGCCGCTGTGTTAAACCAACTACATAGGTTACTCAGTTATGTCTACGAGCTCAGCTTGTAACCGGAAGATCCTCGTTTCGAGCCAAATTGGGACAAAACAGCTGGCTGTCCAGTACTGGAGTGCTGGTTTTCCAATGGTTCTCTAACCGTTGTCAGCTTATGATGAAATACTATAACTATTCAGTTATGTGTTGTTTTCCCATGGGAAAAGTTTACTTTCCCCTGATTTGATTTTCTTCCTCAAAATTTTCCACTGTATAATTTTTTACTGTTAATTTTACAGTGCTGGTCTCTTTCTGTGAAAAACAGTCTAAAGCTAGCAAACTGCTTATTATGAAAATAATCCTTTAATTCATCAACCATTATTCTGATTGGTGTAGAATGTTAGAAGTCACTTGGTTGTGATCCTCATTGGATGTAAAAATCTGCTGTTTGCTGATCAAAAGGAGCACTGATTAAAGAGATTTTTTTGTAACTCGATCAGTTTCTCACGATCTGATTTTTCCTCTCCTTTCATTCCTTCGTGTTCCGAGTGGAACAGTGGGTTTCAAGCAGTACTGCTTGTTTTTACAGGATGAGGTTACTAGCCTCAAGTCGAACCTTTTCTCTTCGTTGGGCTTACAGCCGGCTTTAAGAGGTCAAGGTTTACGCTGGCCGGCAGTCGAACTCTGGACCACGTGAGGTGTGGTTGGTGAGAACACTTTACCGCTGAACCACTGATTAGTGTTGACTTATTTTTCTCCTTTTGTTCTAGCTTTTTATTATGTAAACCTCAGTATGTTTTTACACATTTTGTTTATTTATTATGCTTTGATTTTAAAATGTGATAATTTTAAATCTACACTCACACCCACATAAGGTCTAAATTTCTAGTACTCACTTGTTATTAGGTAACCTGTCTCTTGTGAGAAATACACGGCAACATTTTGTTGAATGACAATTATAAAAATTTGAGGTGTATATTTTGTGAACCAAGGACAACCACCACTCAGGAACAGATATCTCATGTATTGGGGTAAACTGACATCGAGCATAATGCTTTTTCTCATGTTTAGTAGGATAGACTTGCTAATCAGCAGGTTGTGAAGGTTTTAAATACTCGCCAGAGTAAATAATGATTCTATTAGAGGTCATATTTTACTAGATTTAAACAAACTGAGTATGAGAAATTATATGGAATATATATTGATGGGGTGTTTCAGCAGCCCAAGTTTTAAACAAGCCGCCAACTAGATTGAATCTTAAACTGTAAGTGAATTCAGTGATACTCAAAAGTATGAAATTGTCCAGTAAATTTATAAGAATAGGGAAAGTTAAGATTTATTTTAAATAATGTACTTTAAAACATACAAGTTTTATGTTTTATATATAAGATGTGTCGTAACCAACAGCAACCATACACAAGGATTTGAGTCATATTGAATTATTGTTATAAAATAAAGGTAGAAATGTCATAACATTTGGAATATGCATATATTTATATATATATAATTTAAACTGTCCCATTGCTTATTCATTCCATACTATAAACAAACTGTATGTTATTAAGTGAACAAAAATTCAAAAAATTACCTTATCAAGTTTAAACTCCAAAAATATAGGTCAATTTTCCAATCTTAAGGCGTGTTAAACTGAGTATGTAGATGTTGTACACATCCAATCATATCTACCCATTTCTTTGACTGACCAGTTTAAAACAATGATGTCAGTAAAAATTATTACATTATTATTATTATTGCCTCCTTTAGTTCTTGGAGGAACAGAGGGCTTCAGCCACACGTCTTGAATGCGTTTGGTTCTCCGTTAACGTTTTCACCTGGCTTCATGTTTGCTCACATGCTTTCATGTCCTCTTTGTATGATCTCCTCCATGTCACCCTCACACTGACGAGCAGCTCGCCGCTTCCCATATGGGTTCCACTAGAGAGAGAGCCTGACGTGTGATGTCAATTGATGGTTTGTTTTCTCAGAGTATTGCCAATCCACCTCCATTTCTTCCTGCATATTTGTCACACAATCGGTTCCTGGTTGGTTCGTTCACAAAGATACCTCACTGTTGCTGATCTTTTCTGGCCGACCATCTGATCTTGAGTAGTACTGAGCGAAGATAGCTGTTGATGAAGGTGTGTAGTTTGTTCGAAGTGCCCTTCGTGACGCGGTGGCAAGTTTCTGATACGTATAGTAAGTAGCACTCACTTCAGATTGGAGTTGAAAATCCGGATCTTATTTTTCATGTTGAGTGCTGTTGACCTCCACACAGACTTGACAGAAATGAAAGCTTGCCTTGCTTTTCCGATCCTCGCTTTCATATCTTCATTAGTTCCGTC